AAAGATTTGTTCACGAATCATTTTAGTGATTCGTGAAAAAGATTTGTTCACGAATCATTTTAATGATTCGTGAAAAAGATTTGTTCACGAATCATTAAAATGATTCATGAAAAAGATTTGTTCACGAATCATTAAAATGATTCATGAAAAAGATTTGTTCACGAATCATTAAAATGATTTGTGAAAAAGATTTGTTCACGAATCATTTTAATGATTTGTGAAAAAGATTTGTTCACGAATCATTTTAATGGAAGATTTGTTCACTGAATCTTTTAGTACATTTGTAATACATGTACTATATTAATAATAATAACACTAAAAATTATTATAGTAATTATACTAATAATAAAATTAATTGCAGTAGAGTCACAGCGGGGATAATATGTTGCATATGTATCCTATTGCTATAATTTTATTATTATTCTACTTTACTGCAGTGCAAATACACCGACCTGTGATGGGGTTTTGTTCCAGGCCGTTCTCTAGAAAAGTCATAAAATGTCCCTTACACAAAAACACCACCGAGCAGCAAAACAAGCAGATCCTTCCTTGTGCTAACGCTCATACGGCTACTTTATGGCAAGCCCTTTTAGCATAAAATCGGATTCACGACACTTCTATTCCAGATATCTGAAATTGAATTATGACAACTCAWTTTTAGATATCTAGAATGTAATYACAGATAGTCAGACGAAACCGATTTWATGCTAAAATKGCCTGCCATACAACAGAAGCTAAGACTCCATTTGTTTTAGCATCTTATCCTCGACACGTTGAATCGCCCAAAGCGTTCTAAACTTTAAGACATTTAACAAACAGAAACACCCCCGTCGACGTGGCGTTGTCCCACTTTTCTTTGCATTAAGTTTACTAAATTCTGCCCCCWACTTTTACAGCTTAAAACCTATAAATAATAAAATATATTTAATATGCATGTTATTGCTTTTATGTAATGGTATGCTGCTTTTGGCTACAACAGATTCTTTTTTTATTATTATTATTATTTCAAACATCCCATCATGAAATCAGATTCCCTCCAAGCATCGTAGATGTTCCATATTTTCTGACTGCAGTTTGACGCCCCGTACGACAACTGAACTGTCGGTTCCCACTTGTTTTTCACTGCAGGTTTAATTTAAAAAAAAAAAAGTAAGAAAAGTTGCAGCTGATGCGATAAGCGTATGAAGCTGAATGTTTGAGCCTGTGATGACGAACCGTGGCTGAAATCGTGCTGAGGATTAGACCAGTGAGTTTTAGGAGTTAGGAAAAATAATTCCGCTTAACTCAACGATGTTTTTTGAGTGTATCTGATAAAATAAAATAATTCCTCACAGGAGCTGGATCAGAAACCACTCGTACTCGGTGTGATTAGAGGCCCTTCCTGTCTGTTAGTGTCTCTGTACCCTTTAATGTTTCGCCTGTGAGACAAGTTGCCATTTCTTTAAAAGGTAATTTGAATTTAATTTTTTGTATGCTCTTCTTAATTCAGGTGCTCCTCTTYGATGCTTTTCTGTGCAAACTTCGGTTGAATGCTGCCTAAATAAACCGTCTGATGTCGCAGCCAGTTTCTCTCAACAAATGTCAGATTTTCGTTCATATTTGTGGGAAATCTATTTTTAGAGTTAAAGCAACTTTGCTCAAACTGAACAGTATTTTCACCCTGAAATATCCTTAACTCTGTGACAAAAATAATAACTTAAATTCAGGAAGTGAAACAGGAAATAGAAGAACTTGATTCTGAACTACAAGTTGAAGGTGGGATGAGGTCATGCAGATGTGGAAAAAAAAAACCAGATCAATCTGATTTGAATCAACTAAAACATAAGTTAAATTGCTCTGGATGAACTTTTCTGGTCATTTTTCTACAAAAATTGCATTTTTATTTTATTGTTATTTTTACATTAGAGGAAGATTTGCAACTGTCTGGGAATAATTTAAGTTTTATCCTTAAAAAAGGGACATTTTGATGAACTATTTGCTTTTTCCAGAAAAACTCAAACCAGAAAATGTCAAAATGTGTAATAATATGCAGCGGGTAAAATAAGTATTGAACACGTCATCATTTTTCTCAGTAAATATATTACTAGAGGTGCTCATGACATGAAATTTTCACCAGATGTTGGTAACAACCCAAGTGATCCATACATACAAAGAAATCAAACCATAAATGTCCAGAAATGAGGTTATTTG